CTGTGTGAGTGAGATGAGGGACTAAGGTAGGACAGGGATAAGAGTCAGTTCTTGAATCTTAAAATATAAGTGATAGTATGTTTGGAACATACTGTATCACTTATTTATTTCTGCAACACAAAACCTCCACTGCTGCCAATGTGTCAACAGTTAACATTACATTTTAATGTCGGAGTCACCTGAGGCAACAGCACTTGTTTCAGCTGGAGGCGATGTTGCACTCATCCATAAATTATAACCATCACTGTATTTTGTGGTGTAAGCAGCCAGATATCTAGTGATACTGGAGTTGATGCTCGCTTTGTTTTTACTTGATTAAATGCATTTTACCCCAAAAGCATTCATTTCAAACAATGTGTTTTCTGTTGTCTCAGCAGCATAACAATTATGGATGCATTGAAGGATAAACAGAGAAAATAGAAAGAAGAATTTCTAGTAAATTCCAAAGGTCCATTAAACATCACTGTCAGCATCCACAGAGCTGAACTCCCATGAGGAAGAGAGGCAGACAGTTCTCATCTGCTACTGTGTGTGTGTGATTGTGGTGTTGACCTCGGAGGCACTTAACTTGAAACAGCTCGTGATTGCATCTGTTACCCTCTCTGTCTATGTTTTTCTCTCTGTCTCATTTTTGTTCTCTCACTGTTTCCAGCCAAGTGAAATTTTAGTGTTCAAATGTTACAAAGACTCTAAGGGAATGAGAGGAACAAAGACCTTTTGTTCATCAATGGAAGGATCAGGTAGAAAAATGGGGATTCATTTTGGGTTGTAGTAGAGACCCTTTGCATGCCATTTAAAAAAAAAAAATTGCCAAAAAATATTTGATTTCACTTTTTGTTTTCATTAATTTTTTGCCGAAAACGTTTGTGATTCTTCTTACCCTAGGCTAACTTTCAACTTAGAGAAGTGAGACCTTTGGCAAATGTTTTGCTCAAGGCCAAAACAACAGAATGCTTTGAGGGAACATTAGTTTTGGCCTGACATGACAGGTATGCTCAGTACTTCACTCTAGTGGTAGAAAGAAACGTGTTCTTCTAGTGCTACTGTGATTTTGTTTCTTTCTGTTTCATAACCGAGGTGGGGAGTGCTGCAGAACAAGAGAAAGAGTGAGAGCAATCAAATGCAAAAACACTGTCATATGACTGGATCTCATGCCAAACGTATTAATATAGTCGGTAAACAAGTATGGGAGGAGTGGCAGAGAGAGGCAGGCGGAGGAGGGTGTTAGTGAGAAATAAGACAAACAAGGCTTTTGGATTCACCAAAACTTGGTGTCTTCACTTATTGTGCAATGATGACTTACACTAGTAACCCGTCTGTAGATCTGAGCAGCATTTTGACATTCAGAGTAGGGGTACTCTGAGGTAGCCATCTCCAACATACACATCCCGAAGGCGTAGACATCTACAGATTCATCGTACTTCTCCTCGTACATCTCTGGAGCCATAAACTCTGGGGTGCCTGATGAAAAGGAGAAAAAAAACTGTTTTTAATTTTAATGAAAACTTGGATCAGTCAGTCACCATACTACAAGAGGAGATTTAACAATGGCTTGAGCTGATGTTCATTGGCTGTGTTGTCACTGCGTTTCCCATACACTGATTTCCAATTTTAGGATTGTATTTTAGGCCAGTGGTGAGTTGTTAGAGGAAGCTACAACAACAGCTCCATGTTTGTAGCCTGTTCATCTTAGTTTCCCACTAATCGTAAAATCATGAGATCTCTTGTTAACTTAGCTGCAGCCTGGGACAGCAAGAAAGAAACTGGATCTCAACATTTTTTTCCCGAGAGATACTGTATTATCACGACTTTGCTCTTGTGAGCATCACTGTATTCAAGTATTTAATTATATTTTTAATAAAAAGGATTTTTAATCTTGTTCAAATAATAATTCTTTAAGAATGAAAAAATAAACCAAAAGGTTTTTAGATACTTTTCACAGAAAGAATCAATGTCATGTGAAAGATGGTTGTTACATAATTTGTATGATTTAATTTATGCTTATTTAAAGATATAATGAAGGGCGGAAGGGTTTTTTTTACACTGAAATGTTTAGAAAGAAGTAGAAACATCCACAAACTGTCTAAAGTGTTTATTGAGCAAGCTTAGACAGCTTGTGGCTATTTCTTCATATTCTGTTATGCCTGCTCATCTGTATCAGCTCACTCACTAGGTTGCATCCTGAGTGAGAGAGAATTTCTTTACTTAATTTATCTCTAAGGGAAACACAAACTGTAGCCATCATTGCAAGAAACAAAGAACAAGGAGGCAGTTTTAGTATTTAAAGTATTTCTAATGTGACAATGTCTCCAAGGCTTCTGTAACACAGAAAATAATCCATCCCACTTTCAGTCCCTAATGAAAACAAATGTGTGTATACTTGTTCTGTAATTGTGCATTTCTCACAAGCAGAATTTCATCTCTGATCTGGTTTTGATGGGAATATTACGTGTACTTTTTTGCAAATAAAACACATGACAAACTACTAATTTGCACACAGAGGTTTGAGAAAAAAACAAACTCGCTCTGTCATTTAAATAACATACAAAAATGTTGTGATGATAAGAGGATGTAGATCTCAAAAATCTAGAAAATAAAATATTACTATTATTATAATTGAAACACACTACTGGCTCCACATGGTAGCCTGGTTCTGTTCTGTCTTTGAGTGTTTCTTTGTGTATCCAAACACTTGAGGCAAGAATGATATGCTAAGTAAATCTCACAGCTGCGGTGCAGTTAGAGAAACCTCAAGAGTATTTGTATTCATGTACTTTGTGTGTGAGAAATTTACTTTACCAACAGGCAGGCAAGTTAATATATGGAGCAGAACAGACACTCTTTACCTGATGTATGTATCATATTCAGGGTGTGTGTGCGCAGCCATCACGTCTCCAGACAGCTTAATCCGAGCTCAGTAGCAGACTGACTGGTGTGTGGTTTCACTTTTCAAATACCTGCAGTTTGCCTTAACAACCAGACATTTCAGAGGCAATAAAGTTAATCTACAGTAGGCTGTGTAGTGTGTACATAATGTGTCAGTCTTCATGTCTATACGTTATACGAGACTATGTGTGTCGACACATGAGCGTGAAGTGGTAAACACACATAAATCATCACCTTTTCTACTTTATCCGCCATTTCATTCTGATATATGGCTTTACATCTAACAACAGAAGGGTGCGTCTGCATACAAGAGATGAGGAATTGTGTCTTTAGCGGCCGCGCGCATGCGTCTTCCTACCTATGACACTCTTGGCGAAGGAGGCCCTCTTTAATGTGGCTAATCCCAGGTCCCCTATCTTCACGGAGCCCGTGGGCCCCGTGATGAAGATGTTGTCACATTTCAGGTCCCTGTGAATGATCGGCGGGGCTCGGGTGTGCAAGAAGTGAAGACCTTTGAGGATCTGTCTGCACCAAGAACGCAGCACCTTGATTTTCATCACCTTGAAACGCTTCAGGTAGCTGCAGGACAAAGACATCACACACAAGACGGCATGTCAGTCAACAAAATGAGATTAAGTGTAAAAAAAAAAGAAATACAGAGAGCAGCAGTTCCTGTCTTATAACAACCAATGAACCTGGATTCTGTTCAAGAGGCCTTTGTTCTGTTATAATAACTCTGCACATGTTTCTTCTTTGACAGACACTGTGACCAAGTGCACCAGCTGAAAACAGGTGAAACTATTTCATGAACTAACACAACATCAAATATTGGCCTGTTAAGTTTCTCATCAAATGTTATAAATAACGTAGCATCATTAAATTGAGCTTTTAGCTTTGCTAAAGGACACTGAAAACAAACAAAGGTGAAAATGAATAAGGCCCCAGCATATCCGGGAGAGGCTGACGATTGTCAGTTAAAAGAGTGACGTGGTGGAAACATGGATAATACTTTTATTAAAGATTAAAGCTTACGAAACCCAAGTGGATTACTGTAATACAATTGCAGATTAAAGAGGTACATTATAAATTCTCTCAAAGACTTGAACGTGCACGCACACAGCAAAAGACAAACAGTGATTGACGACATTAAACAGGATTTTCAGACGCATTTAATGTCATTAAAAACACAATGTGGACAAACATATAGGTTTGAAAAGCTTTGTTTCCCAGCCTGAAATTTCGTAATATATTTGATATATGTTAATATATTATACCTTCCTCATACAACGCAAACGAAACATTTTAATTTCAGCAGACGATTAACTATCCTAACCATGTCTTTCTGTCATCGTTTTGCATTGCAGGTACAATATCACGGATGAGCAGCTGAAATGCATTGGCACATAAACACATAGGTGTTGGTTTCAAAGTGGGGAGTAGTGCAGATGCCCATTGGCCTTATGGTAAGCATTAGCTATAAAGTGGTATTCACTCTTCTGTCTTGATTAATCAGTGATTGAAACTTTATCAGTCGGGGAATATCTCCACTCAGCTTGTCAGTGAAACTCGAGTGAAGTGCTAAACACACAATCAGATCCAGTTTGCTCCATAGTCATGCAGATTCTGAGAAGGATTAAAAAGAGACTGTTTCACGCCTCATCATCTTTTTGTCTGGTTTAACTGTGCCTCATGCACTGAGTGACCCAGGCCATGTCGACCCCACCAGTGATTCCCTCTGTCTTCCTGCTCCAAGTCCAGACAGCTGATCTGCTGCACAGCCGTATCACTGGCAGCGCCACAGATCCCGAGTTTCAACAGCTGCCCCAATAATTCAGCAACCGCAAATCTGTCTGAACTGATGACGAGCGGGTCAGACAAGCGTGGACAAAGCATTGCAGATCAATCTGCTCCGACACAGCCCCGGATTGTTGGGCTGAGCTCGTATGTCGCTACATGATACAGCTGTGACCCTGTGTCTCTATCAGAGAAGACTACGTTCATTAAATCAAACACTGTACCTGAGTATAATTCTAAGGTACTTAAACTTGAGTCTTTGAAATTTGATCTGCACTTAATACTTTAGCACTCTTTTTAATTTCACCTGAACATATTGTTGTTATTACAACACTTTATTTTCTTGATAGTTAAATGTCATATGATCAATTTATAAACTATGATGCATTGATGCATAAAGTGTTTCTGCAAGTTTCAATAAGTTACATTTAAGACTTTTTAAGACCATAATGAATGAAACTTAAGACCTACTGTATGTCAAGTGCAGCAGATGGGGAATATCAGATTCTCAGAATAACTTTCCCATTATTGAAGATAAGGTCAAGTAGCCTAGTGAAGAATGACCTTCAATACACTACTAGTGTACTCTTTCTTGTAGTTTTATTACAGAATTTGTTTCTATGCATTTAAACAGACCTATCTAAACATATTTAAGACCTAGTACATTATATTTGAACGTATTTAAGACCCTTTGGAGACCCTGTGCATATGATGAAATATAAACAATAAACAAAGTGATGCAGCTATAGATTCATTTGTTTGCCTCTTTGATTCCAAAAGAGACGATGATGGATTGTGTGAAAAGTAATGATTAGATATAAAGTAAATATGTCTTGTCATTAGGAGTTTTCACTTACGTAAACATATTAACAGAGAGAAAAAATATTGAGATAACTATTAAAGTGAACAACTCAAAATCTACATCTGCATGATTTTAACAGCCTTGTCATCTTTCTCACAATCAACCCATTCTATCACACTTCTCAGCACCCTCTTCTCTTTCTTCCTTCCTTTAACCCACCCATACTTCTCGACCTCGCCTGTCTCCTCGGCTTTCTTTCTCTCCTCCCCTGAAGTCAGAACAGTGCTGACAGATAAGTTAAACCCTGTGTCGTGCGATGTTGGAGTGACAGTGCACAAAGCACGTTCTGCACTCACAATCACTTCATCATGCTCCCTTCAGCAACACCCTAACCTGAATACATAGATATGTATATATACTGTATTTGAACAGTACAAATGCACATTAACAGATACACATTCACAAATATAAATGCATAAATACATACAAGCAGACAAATGCCACATCAGCCACTTCCTGTCGCGCGCGCGCGC